GTAGCAGCCTGGCCCCACCCGGGCGATTGTTCCAGCGGAGCCCCTGCGCGGCCATGGTGGAGGTGGAGGCCCCTATCCCAAGGGTGGGGGGCGTGTCACCCATAGCTGTGCTGTGTTTCCACAGAGGAAGAAGAGCTGGCAGGAGGGGCAGAGGGCACGGGCTCCCTGCCCCAGGAGCCGCGGTGCAGCGAGCAGGTGAAGACGGCCCCCGAGGGCCCTCCAGCAGAGCCGCACTGCTGGCCAGCAGAGGCGGTCCCCCGGACCGGCGCTGAGCCCACCTGCAGCCAGGGTAAGGCCAGTCGGGAGCAGCCCATCACGGCCCCCAGGGCCAGCAGTCAGCGGGTGCTTCTTGACAGAGGGGCCTGGAGTGGGCCTGGGGGTGAGGTAGACAAGAAAGGCAGGCCAGGCAGGGAAGGCCTGGCTGGAGAGCTTCCTCGGGGGAGGGAAGGGCCAGAGACCCTCCACCCCCACCCCCACTCCCGCCTCACAGAGGGGAATAGCTCGGGAGGTGCTGAGCCCAGGCCAAGGTGGCCTAGCCGAGAGGGAGGGGTGCCTGTGCCCAGATGGGTCCATGGGAGGGGCAGGCGTGGGGCGGGGAGGAGTCAGGGGTGGGCAGAGGGCCGGCCGGGTTGGGCGGAGCCGGATGGGCATCCGTGTCATGTCTGTGTCCGTGTCTGTGTCTGAGTCACAGCCTGTTCCCACCAGCCGCCTCAACCAGCCAGGCCCCTCGGGGACTCCTCAGGGCTGGGGCCTCTCGCAGACCCCACTCAGGACAGCAGGGCTTGGTGCCAGCCCGAGGGAGTCGGGCATGGGGGCTGAGTAAGCCCCGCTCCTTTTAAAGCCATGGAGCAGCGGAAGAATGTAGACACCAGCCAGGCTGCGGCTCCCGGAGGCTGCCAGCCCACACTGCTGCCTCGCAGCTCCAGCTCATCCTGAGGCGCGAGGGGAAAGTGGATGCTGGCTGAGTGGCCGGCTCTGGGCCCCAGCATCCTCCCTGTGGCGGGAATGACCAATAGAATGTGTGTCCTAGTGATCTCAGGTGGCCTCGGCCTGCAGCCGCTCGAAGCAGGGTTTTGGTTGCCGGCCAGTGAGCGTGCTGAACCCTAGCCACTAGACCAGTGGTTAGTGACAAGGCCCCGGCTCTTCGGCTTTGCAGAACAGAATTCCCATAAAGGCGGAAAGTAGTGAAACAAGTGAAGTGTTTATTAGGAGGAAAAAGTGTACAGTACATGTAGATAGACACACAGGTGGGCTCAGAGAGAGAGTGGCGCCCTCCTGCTAGTTTGAACCACTTACATGGGGCATTTCTTCCGGGTTTCCTTTGGCCAATCATTTTGATTTGCCTGGTTCCAAGTCCGTATTTGGTATATCTCAGGATCCTCCCCTGTGTGCGTGCCTCTCTTAGCCAAGATGGATTCTAGGGAAGAGACCTATATGGGTAGTGAGCATCACTCCCCTTTTGACCTCCAAGGAGCTTTCTAGTCTGGAAGGTCTCTTGGACTTGAGAATGAGGAATATGTGGCCTGTATTCCTCATCTGGGCAGGGCCCAGCCTCCTTTCTCAATTGCCCTGCTATTTTCATCTTGGAGTATCTGTCCACAGGGAGCGAACTCCAGCTGTTCGCCCTGGGGGCTCGTCTATCTCCTGCCTCACTAGGATGGTCTGAGAGCTCACATGCATGCCTGGGAGGTGCAGGGCTTGCCCGTGTCCCAGCCCTGGGCACCCAGTGAACACTGTGCTTTTGGGGGTGCCCCACAGCCCAGAGACAGAGCCAGGCCCTCGGGGAGGCAGAGAGACAGGAGGAGGCCTGGGAGCCTGGCAACCAGCACAGGCCTAAAGAGAGAGGGTAGGGCGGTCTGACGCTGCCAGAGGAGGCGTCTTGGTGCCTCTGTGGTGCAGGGTTTGCGGGGGATGAGCCCCAAGGAAGGGAGGGGCAGGCAGGCCCGGGAGGCCGAGAGCCCGGCTCAGTCCACTGGGTCCACCCCACAGTTGCCAGCTCCAAGGTGCCCAGTGGTGGGAGTGCCCAGCCACCCGAGGGCCACCCGGGCAAGGCTGAGCCCAGCCGGGCCAAATCACGCCTCCTGCCCAACATGCCAAAGCTGGTCATCCCCTCGGCCACCACCAAGTTCCCCCCTGAGATCACCGTCACGCCGCCCACCCCGACGCTGCTCTCGCCCAAAGGCAGCATCTCAGAGGAGACCAAACAGAAGCTGAAGGTGACTGCAGGTCCTGGGTGGGACACAGGGCTGGGGGTGGGGGGTGGGGTGGTGGTGCCAGGCTGCCACTGACCACTGCCTCACCCGGTCTGTGCAGTCAGCCATCCTGTCTGCCCAGTCGGCTGCCAACGTGAGGAAGGAGAACCTGTGCCAGCCGGCCCTGGAGGTCCTGGAGACATCAAGCCAGGAGTCCTCGCTGGAGAGCGAGACAGATGAGGACGATGACTACATGGACATCTGAGGGCCACTCCCCACGCACCACCACCTCCACCACCCCACCACGCCCCGCCCAGTGGGGCGTCCCCACCACAGGGCCACAGGCCACAGGAGCCCAGCAGGGCCCGCCTCCTTTTTTATGAAGTGATTTTCTTTGTAAACGTGACCAGCCCAGCCAGGCGGCCTCGTCCACCCTCCACAGGCTCTGTCTGGGTCACGGCAGTGGAGGGTCCTTTTTTGGTTGCTTTTCTAATAAAGATGGAACCGTCGTCTCGGCCTCTTTGTCCCCTGGGGTGGCGATCCCTGTCCAGGCTTTCTGGGCCTTCCTCCCCCAGGCCAGGTCAGGGCCTGACCCACAGGCACCCGGGGAGCAGGCGGGAGCCACACGGGGCAGACGCTCCCGGGAGAGACAGCAGCCGGGCCTGGAAGGAGCACAGGGGTGAGGGCACGTCCCTCCAGAGTCAGGGTCAGGAGGGTCCCAGCCGTGCTGAGGAGGTGGCTTACACCCCAATGTGATGGGCACCCTGGGGAGGGGCCTGAGGCAGGGGGTGGCGCTGACCTCCCACCATACTCGCCTTCTGACAGGACCAGCCACATGAGTCGGGGGGCTCGGTGCGAGATACAAACGTGGGGCCCCAGCAGAGTGATGTTGGCCCCACCATCCCGGCTCCAAGCCCGTCTGTTCTGTGGGAGCATCTGCCCCTCTGTGCCGTGGGGGCTCAGCCGCCAGCCCCACAGCTGGGGGCCGGTCCTGCTCTGGGGGCCTTCTCTGAAAGGCGTTCTGTCCGGGGAGGGGACAGAGACCCTTCTTGCTGCGCTGTGCCCCCAGCCCCCACTGCCTGGGAAGAAAGGCCCAAGAGGCTGGACACTGCAGGGTCCCCAGCCCAGGCCTGGCAGAGCCACGTGGGAACCCAGGGCGCTGAACTGGCACTGACTCAGGCCCTTCTCAAGGCTGCAGGGCCTGAGGGAACCGGCAGTTACTCAGCTGAGCCCCCTGGGCCCCCACGCTGCACTCCTGGCTTCTGGCTCAGGCTGGGGAGAGGAGGTGGCCACCTTCCTTCCCCTGGTCCACAGACCCCCTTCCTGGGAATAGCCTAGCCATCTCCCAGGGCCCTTCCTGGCTGGGGCGCAGGACACCTCTGTCCCTCCCCAGGAGCTTCCTTCCCTAAGCTGTGCTCTGGGCCCGGGCGAGTCCCAGCACCGGCCCCCAGGCTGGCTGGGGACCTCAGTGCCCACACCCAGGGCACCTGCCCACAGAAGTGCTCTGAACACCCAGTAATCCACTTGGGACTTCTGGTTCCGACTCCCGCGGCTGGCTCCCGACACCTGTGGCAGCCCAGCTCTCTGGAGCAGCTGCGAGGCAGCGGTGACCAGGGAACAAGGCTGGCCGACCTCCGCGGCCAAGGCCAGTCATGTGGCCAAAGCCTGTGCCCCGCTACCTTCAGTTCCCTGAGGGGTCCAGGACCCTGTCTCCTTCAGACGTCTTGAGGAACTGCCACTGTCTGCCTGTCCAGACCCCAGGCCCAGGTGGCAGAGCCCAAGTGAGTCCTAGGCCTGGGTTCCCCCCATACCCTGACCTTGGAGGCTCCCAGAAGATGCCTCTCCCGGTGACCTAACCGCCCCCTCCCTGTCTGGGCCTCAATCTCCTCACCCGCACCAATAGGAGGAAGGTATACAAAGAAGAGATTATGTAAATATCGAGAGTGAAAGGGTAGGGGCAGGTGGGGCCAGGCGGCTCCTTTCCTGGTCCCCAGCCCAAGGCAGAAGCACGTCTGGAGCCCTCAGACTGACCCAGGGGCCTAGAGAGCCAGGCCAAGGGGAGACCAGGGTCCTGGCCTCAACTCCCACCCCACCCCCAGGGTTAATTTGCCTGAGGCTAGGCCCCTCCCTCCTCCTTCCCCTCCCCCTCTCTCCCTTCCCCTCCCCCTCTCCCCTTCACCTCCTGCCTCCTCCTCCTCCCCAACTCTCCCTTCCCCTCCTCCTTCCCCCTTCCCCTCCTCCCTCCAAAAGGGATCCCCACGGAGCTGTGTCTGACAGCTCCCACCCTTCCTGAGAGGGAGCCCTCCCCCAGCGCCCACACAGCCGGCCTGCAGCAGGCACCAGCAGGAAGTCACTTGCTCCCTTACCCCACCCGGCTGTGGGGAGGAACTGGGACCCCCTGCTCCCTGCAGGGAAGCTGAGGTGCCAGGCTTGTGGCCTGGGACCCCAGGGGCTGGAATCCTGGGATTGCAAGGACAACCCTGCCTCATCCCCACTGCAGCATCCCATCCCCTTCAGGAGCCTGGCCTGGCTCCCCAGAGCAGGCTCGGGGGTGGGATCCAGGGTCTGAGCTGCAGCTTCCGGACATCCGGCTTCAGGACGTGGGCCCCCTCCCTGAGTCGCGGGCCAAGGGCCAGGAATGTGCTAACTGGGCAAGTAGGGCCCTGCTAGCGCATAGGACACCTGTGGACTTTGAGAGGGGACCCGGGTGGGGCGGGGTGGCAGCGTGGGGCGGGGCCAGGCCGTGGGGAGTGAGCCGCCGCCACCTCCCAGCCACTGCTGCGCTGGCTGCAGACACAGGCAGGCACCATGAAGCTGTCTCTCCTGCCCTGGGCCCTGCTGCTGCTGGTGACAGCCCCCGACCCAGGCCCCTGGCCTGCAGCAGGTACGCCCCCACGCTGCCCTTTTGTCCCCCGTCTGTCTGTCCATCTGCCCGCTGTAGTCAGACCCAGGGCAGAACTTCCCTGGGCTCAGCCTCTGTCCATCCGTCAGGCCATCTGTGACCATACTAGGGGTGCTAAGAAGAAATTCTGGGGAGCCCAGGGTCAAGGGGCTGCTGGTAGGGATGGGGGTGTCTGGGCCATGCCTACCCTAAGCTGGCTGGGAGCCAGAAGGCAGTGGTGGGCTGGGAGGGAGGTGGCCAGGGTGTGGTGAGCTCGGGAGAGCCCTTGGCCTGCACCTCAAGCGCCGATGGAGGGTGTGTTTGTACATGGAGGAGCCCCCAGCCCCACTGGGCCCCCTGCCTGGCCAGAGGCAGGATTCTGGGTCCTTCTCAGGGTGGGCTGAACCCGAGAAAGTCTAGGGGAAGGCCACGCACTCCAGAGCCGGGACCCTGGCCCCCCGGGCTGGGCTGGGCTGAGCTGGTATTTGCCAGCTCCCCAGCCCCCTCCCCGGCCTATCTCCCATCTCAGGGAAGCACCAACACCCTCCTTCCACTTATCTCACTTACAGTCATCACTGGGCCTCCTTCCCCACCCCCTCAAGCTATCACAGTCTTGGTCAATACATATTTGTTGAGTGCCAGGCCCTGTGCTGGGTGAAGTAGGGCCCGCAGTGGTGGCTCAGGCCCAAGCCTGGCCCTTGACCAGCCCCTTTGGGGAATGGCAGGGAAGGGCCAGATGGGACGTGGGCCTGCACCCCACCCCTGTCTCCACCCTCCAATCTGCGCAGCCAGGCCAGCTCCAGGGCGATGGGTGCCCACAGCCCCCCACCAAACCACCCTGTCCCCTCTCCTGGCCTGGCTGGGTCCTCTGCTGGAACTGTCCCTCCTCTCCCCTAAACGAAGGGGAGAACCCCTGGCCTTCTCCCCCGAGGGTGGGGCCGTAACCGGTGAGCCTGCACGGCCCAGCGGAGTGAGATGTGGCAAACTCAGCCTGGGCGCCAGCCCCTAGTGGGCCTCCAATGGGACTCTTAGTAGCCATATCCCAGACCCCAGATCGGGCAAGCCAGCGTGGTTCTTCTCCAGGCTGCCGGTCCTTGATGCTTTAGGAGTGGAGACAGGTCCCCGGCCCATGTCAAGGGGTCAGGCACGTGTAGCCATCTGAGGATGCCGTCAGGTACCGGACTTGGTAGCCAGTCTGCCCAGGGGCTCCTCCCAAAAAGTTTTATGTCTGGACACATTTCCCCAAATCTCCCCTCATTCTAGCCAGTCATTCAGGCCAACTGGACTAAGAGTTACCCCACCCCATGGGCCCTATGGGTTTCCACTGGGTCCACGTGGTGGTCAGTGCAATTCCTGGCCAACTTTCTCCTGGGGATGCTTCTAACAGGCTCGAGGGGGAAAGAGATGTGGGCCCTGTACATGGGGTGGCCAGGCTGGGCACTCAGGGCCCTCTCCTCCAGGTGCCCAGGGGAGCTGCTCCCACCGTTGTGGAGTCCAGGATGGGCCATGCTCCTGCCACCCGACCTGCTTCGGCCTGGCCAGCTGCTGCTCGGACATTCGGGACTTCTGCCTGGAGATCTTGCCCTACTCGGGCTCCATCATGGGTGGCAAGGATTTTGTGATACAGCATCTCAACTGGTCCAACCCCACTGACAGCGTGATCTGCAGGTGGGAGGCCCGAGGACTCTGTGCACGCTGGGGCTCAGACCCACTGGCTGGTTGGGTGGGGCCCCCGGGACAGAGGACTGGGACGGCTGTCCAGGGAGGAGGCTGGGAGCCTCAGAGAGGTCAGCCCACGCTGGCCCAGCCTCTCCTGCCTCCTCCACACTCACAGCTTTAAGGAGAGCATCCAGACCCGCGGCTTCGTGGACTCCTCGGGACGAGTGCACTGTGTGTCACCCTTGCTCTATGAGACCGGCCGCATCCCCTTCACGCTCTCCATGGACAATGGCCGCTCCTTCCCACGCTCAGGCACCTGGCTGGCTGGTGAGACCCAACATGCTGGTCCAGACTGGAGGCACCAGGCCGCACCCTCCCGGGCCCAGGCCCCTCACAGGGACTTTCCCTTGCGCTAATCTATGCACACCTGGCCCACCTGCTCTGGGTGAACCAGTCCCTCTGGAGGCCCGCCCGACTCCCTGGGTGCAGGCTCCCCAAGCTCCTTTCCCCACCGCTGGCACCCATGCAGGAGTTCCAGCCCAGAGGGAGTGTGGCTCGGCCAGCCAGGGGAGGGCAGCAGCCAAGTGGAGGACAGAGGCCTGGGCATGGGTGGGGGCAGGGCCCTGCCTCTCTCAGTTCCTGCCCTTTCCTGCCGCCAGGGGGAGAGCATCGCTCCCAAGGGACTGCTGTGCTTTGTCCTTGGGAGGTCCCCACAGCTCTAAGAGCCCCGGGCCTCCTCCCCTGGACCCCCTGGGCCCTGGGCCTTCACTCACCCCTCACCCCCGCCCCCTGCCCCCTGCCCAGTGCACCCCAGCAAAGTGTCAGAGTCTGAAAAGAGCCAGCTGGTGAATGAGACCCGCTGGCAGTACTACGGCACCGCCAGCGCCCAGGGTAACCTCACCCTGACCTGGAACACCTTGGCTCTGCCCACGAACTCCATCACTGTAGAGCTATGGGGCTACGAGGAGACAGGTGAGGCCAGCAGAGTAACCCTAGGCTGCCTCTGTGGGGCCTGGTGGGGTCAGGAGTTTGGAGCTTGCAGAGATGGGAGAAAGGGGATTCCAGGTGGAGGGAATCCAGGTGGGGATTTCCAGTGGGAAGAGTGCAGGCAAGAAAGGGGAACTGGCTGGAGCAGCACAGGGAAGCTGGGGATCCCTGGCTGTTTGGGTACCAGCTCTAGGAGGAGGTGTGGCCATTCTCCGCTCCTGGATACAAGGCTTATCCTGGAAACAGGAAAGGCTTGCTCTGCCCCATCCTCTCTGAGTCCCTGGATGGCTGGCTGGCCCTGGGCCTGGCTCCCTCCCCAAACAGGGCAGGGCCTCCTATGGTGGTCATCTGTCTACCCTTCTGTCCATCTACCAGGCTGCTCTGAGCACCAAAGACCGGCACCCCACCCCCCCACCCCATGCCCCGGGGTTCCTCGGACTCAGGCCCAGGGGCTGACAAGGCCTTCTCTCCCCCAGGGAAGCCGTACTCCCAGGAGTGGACGGCAGCGTGGTCATACCTGTACTCCTTGGCCACAAGCATCACCAACTCCGGCTCCTTCACCTTCACACCAAAACCTGCACCTCAAGACTACCAGAGGTGGAAAGTGGGTGCCCTTCGCATTGTCAGCAGCAAACACGCAGGGGAGAAGTAAGGGCCGCCCTGCAGGAGATGGGCTGGGGCCTGTCTGCCTGCTGCCCCCACGCTAGATGGGGAGCCAGGGCCGAGGGCAGGAAGGGTGGTCTCTAGTGTGCATGTGTCCCCATAGGGACGTGCACGCACTCTGGAGCAACGAGCACGCGCTAGCCTGGCACCTGGGCGATGACTTCCGGGCAGACCCTGTGGCCTGGGCCCGAGCTCAGTGCCTGGCCTGGGAGGAGCTGGAGGACCAGCTGCCCAACTTCCTGGAGGAGGTGCCCGACTGCCCCTGCACCTTGGCCCAGGCCCAGGCTGACTCTGGCCGCTTCCAAGTGAGCCCCCACCCCAGTCAGGGCCCAGTAGGGAGCGAGGGGATGGGCGGGGCCAGCTGCCCCAACTAGGCACACGGCTGTGCCGTACAAGGCAGTGCAGGGGGAGGCAGGTAGAGACCTGGGAGGTAAGGCTGGGGTCTGAGGGCCCAGGGCCCCAGAGGGGTTGGCTCCCAGGGAGGGGATGACAGAGTGCAAAGCCAGTGCAGGGGACAGCAACCAGCCACTCTGCAGGCAGACTACGGCTGTGATATCGAGCATGGCAGCGTGTGCACCTATCACCCAGGGGCTGTGCACTGCGTTCGCTCCGTGCAAGCCAGGTGAGCATGGAGACGGTGGGCAGGGTGCGGGGTGGGGGCTGGGGGCAGGATGCCAAGGCGGCCCTGACCTGTCTGTGCCCCCAGCCCCCTATATGGCTCAGGCCAGCAGTGCTGCTACACGGCAGCGGGCACACAGCTCCTGACAGCCGACTCCACCAGTGGCAGCACCCCAGACCGTGGCCACGACTGGGGCGCACCCCCATACCGCGTGCCGCCCCGCGTGCCGGGCCTCTCCCACTGGATCTACGATGTCATCAGCTTCTACTATTGCTGCCTCTGGGCGCCCGAGTGCTCCTACTACATGCAGAGGCGGCCCTCCAGTGACTGCCACAGCTACCAGCCCCCGCGCCTGGGTGGGTGCTGCCTGGGCAGGTGCTGGCCAGGGCGAGGCCCCAGGCAGGGCGGGGCCAGGGCAACCTGCCTGACCCTCCGCTCTCCACAGCTTCCGCTTTCGGGGACCCACACTTTGTCACCTTCGATGGCACCAACTTCACATTCAACGGACGCGGCGAGTATGTGCTGCTGGAGGCCTCTGGGACTGACCTGAGGTTGCAGGCGCGGGCCCAGACCAGGATGACGCCCGAGGGTGAGGCTGGGCCCTGGGGCTCTGGGTGGCTCAGGGTCATCCCTGGGGAGGGGGAGGCTGAGCCGAGTGGACCCCATTTTGCACCCATCATCCCAGGCTCTCAGGACCGAGGCACAGGGCTGACTGCTGTGGCTGTCCAGGAGGGCAACTCAGATGTGGTAGAGGTCCGGCTGAGGGATGGGGCCGGGGCCCTGCAGGTGCTGCTGAACCAGGAGGTGCTCAGCTTCAAGGAGCAAAGCTGGATGGACCTGAAGGGTGAGTGGGATGGTGGGGGCCCCACTCCCCTGCCCTCCCCGCCGGGGCCTCCACACCTCTCTCTGGCCCTGGCAGAAAGCAGGCGGTGTCCAGGGCGCAGATGGGGAGGTGGAGTCAGGGCATGAGGGCCGACAGGCAACCCCCTCGCACGGCCCTGGTATGGGGGCCCCATTTAGGGCCTGGGCACCTCAGATCCACCGCCCGGGGTGGTGGAGTGTCATAGCAGGCTGGGCCCTGGGGACACCCTCCCTTGCCCCTGAGCCCATGGGTGCCGGCCCATGCATCCCGGGGCTCTGGGGTCACAGCAAGTTGCCCACAGGGGCGGCCCTGACCCCAGCTCCCCCTGTGTCCAGGCATGTTCCTGTCAGTAGCTGCTGGGGACAGAGTATCAGTCATGCTGTCATCAGGGGCCGGCCTGGAGGTCAGCGTCCAGGGTCCGTTCCTGAGTGTGGCGGTCCTGCTGCCCGATAAGTTCCTGACGCACACACGAGGCCTCCTTGGGACACTCAATGACAACCCCTCAGACGACTTCACCCTGCGCAGCGGCCAGGTCCTGCCCCCCAGTGCCAGTTCCCGAGAACTGTTCCAGTTTGGGGCTGACTGTGAGTGACCACAGGCTGGAGGGGAGGGGGCACCATGCTGGGGGGTGCTCAGTGGAGGTGTGTGTGTGGGAGCCCCCAGGCCCTCCCACCAGCCAGGCCTGCTGCTGTCTCCCTAGGGGCTGTGGAGAATGCCTCCTCCCTGCTCACCTACGACTCCAAGTTCCTCGTGGAAAACTTCCTGCTCCGGCCCAAGCATGACCCCAATTTCCTGCCCCTCTTCCCCGAGGAGACCACCTCCAGCCCCAGCCAGGAGAGTGAGGCGGCCAAACTGTGTGGGGACAACAATTTCTGCAACTTGGACGTGGCGGCCACCGGGAGCCTGAGCGTGGGCAACGCCACGCTGTTGGTCCACAGGCGGCACCTGCTTCGCGCGCAGAGCCTGCAGCCCGGTGAGGGCGGTGGTGGGTGAGGGCGGCGGGCACTGGGTGCTGGGACACGGCCCCCCAGGCTGGTGGCTGTGGTCAGCAGCTCAGGCCTGTCGTCTGTGCCCCACCCCTGCCCCAGTGGTGTCCTGTGGCTGGCTGGCTCCGCCCTCCAACGGGCACAAGGAGGGCATGAGGTACCTGGTGGGCTCCACTGTCCACTTCCACTGCGACAGCGGCTACAGCCTGGCCGGGGCCGAGGCCAGCACCTGCCAGACTGATGGCACCTGGTCCCAGCCCACCCCGACTTGCCAGCGAGGTGAGGATGCCCCGCCCACCGACCGGCCCCTCCCACCAGCTCTCGGCCTGCCCCCAGCATTGCCCCGCCCACTCGCCCGCCCCGCTTACGTGCCCTGCACGTGTGCGCCCACCCACGCCTTACGCCCTGCCGCCCCTCTAGGACGGAGCAGCGCGGTGCTGCTGGGCGTCATCTTTGGAGGCCTGGCGGTGGTGGCCCTCGTCGCGCTCGTCTACGTGCTCCTACGCCGCAATAAGAGCAACACGTGAGACCCCCGCCCTTCCAGACCCCCGTCTGCCCCTCCTAGGCTCTGTGCCCCTCCTAGGCTCTCCTGGCGTCCCGGGGCGCGGGTGGGACCACCGGGCCTGCTCTAGACCCAGCCTCTGTTGCAGGGCCGTCTGGGATTCGCAACCCTGAGGGAAGCACGCTTGGCCGGCGGCCAAGGGCACACAGGACCTCCCCGGGGCCAAAGACCAGCCTCCCAAACTCCCAAGAACGTGCACCCCAGTACTTGGATCCACAAATCCCTACCACCATACACCTGGGACACGGACACCTGAACCTGAGCTTTTAAAGCCCGGTGCCCTGCTCTGTCACCAAAGACCCGGACCTTGAGTAGTCACTGTGGAGTTCCCGAGGCTCTGTTCCCCACATACCCCTGACTCTTAATTCCCCAGGCCCGAGACTCCGTACCCTTGAATTCTGAGGCCTGTCTCCCGAGCCCTAATACTCCAGCACCTGATCTTCAAAGGCCAGTACCTCAGATCCCTTGCCCATGATGCTGATTCCCAGTATACTGAGTCGTGGTGCCCCAACAGGGGGCCCCAGGGCCGAGCTGCCTTGATTCCCAGACCCTGGGCCTGGCCTGAGACTGTAGGTGGGTCCAGACTTGGGTGTGGAGAGTCACCCTCTAAGCTCCAGGCTTGTAATTCTAAGTCTCTGGAACATCTCCTGAAACACCCCTTCCTGCCTGTTGGGGGAGAAAACAAGCCTTTGGTGCCCCTTCCCTGGTGTCCTCATGCTCGTGCTGTGCCTTGGTTCCAGGGAGTCCCACGGTTGCCCTGTGTGGTCCACAGCACCCAGAGCAACCTGGGTCTGAGGCCTTCGTCCACTGGCAGGTCGCCTGGGACCGGTCTCTCCCCAACCTCTGTCTCTCCATCTGTAAAGTGGGATCTGGAACAATGACCACGTTGTGACAGGGAGGGGAAGGGTTCTCCATGGGGTGCTACGCTGGGCACTCAAGAGAAGGGACAGGGCTGGGCGGCCCACCCTCCCCCAATGTAGGGAACAAGCAAGCTGGCAGCCTGGCCCTGGGCCCCCCACCCTGCCCTGTCACAGCCCCAGAGGCAGTCTGGTAATGCGATGCCCAACTGGTCCCGGTCCCTGAGCCCTTTGCCCAGGAGTGTCCAGAAGCTAGTACAGGGCCCAGGCCTTATGCCATCACTGCCCCGTTTGTAGCAAGGGTGCTGAATGGGGGCTGTGGGCAGGCCTGGGCAGGGTAGGATGGGGTCAGATTTGCATCATAGGTGTTAGATGGAGAAAGCACCAGGGAGTGTGGGGTTGGAGGTTGGCGCCCCCTGGCCAGGGCGGGCAGCTCTGCCTGAGAGGAGTGAGGGGCAGGGGGTTGCCCACGAGATCTGGAGCCCTGGGTGGGAGGCTGAGAGAAGCCCCTTCACCGCAGCACCAAGAGTGGCCACGTGGGGGCAGCAGAGGGTAAGAACAGTGGAGGCGGAGGCTACCCAGGGACCCAGGCCATCAGGGAGAGCAGTGCAGTTGGGCCAGCAGGCTTGTGGTCACGACCCCGGCCAAGGTTCATGCAGACCCACCTCTTCATCTCCCTCATCTGGGGGGTGACCTCGAGTCGTCCCCCAGTCTCAGAGGTTGCATGGGTCATCTCCCTCACCTGGGAGGGTCTCGAGTCATCCCCCAGTCTCAGAGGTTGCATGGGTTACTCAAGGTCGTCCAGCTGGCACTGACCACTTGGATCGGAGGCCAGGCCTCCCTACCTCCTCAGCCTCACCTTTGGCAGAGGGGTGGGCAGGGGCAGCGGCAGATCCCATCTGCAGGGATTCCTGGAGTGTGCACAGTGGGGCACATTTGAACAGGGCTAAGATGAGATTGGGGGGGTGGGAGTCCTGGGGGTGGTGCTGAGGAGACTCTGGTGGAGGCGGATGGGGTCAGTGCTTCTTGTCCTTCCAGACCCCACCCACCTCCCCCCAACCTCTGGGCTTCCAGCTCAGGACAGGGGGGCTGAGGGCCCACCCTTTGGCCCCTGGGCAGGTACTTTCCTCTCTGCAGATGAGGTAAGGCAGGGCTGGCCTCCCACCAACCTGAGCCCCAGTGCTTCCTTGCCGAGCCAGGCCGGGCCAGGCCCTTGACGGTGGGTGAGGGTCAGGTTCCTGGTCAGAGCAGGAGGGCAGGGGCAGCATCACCACTCCCAGACTGGCCTCAGAGGTGTGATTGGTCAGAGAGCTTTCCAGGTAGAGGAACAGCCTGAGCAAAGGCTCAGAGGATGGGACGTGCACTCAGGTCTGAGGAGTAACGTGGAGGGCAGCAGTAGAGGTGCCTCCCCTGCCAGGCTTCATCCTGAAAGTAAAGCATGGCCTCCCTCAGGCCCCCTACCCTACTCTTGTCCCTCTAAGGTAGGCCCTGGAGCTGCCCTGGCAGGAGAAGGGCTCCATCGTGGCCCTGGCCCCAGACGTCAGGCCTTCCCAGTGCCAGGGGCCGGCCAGGCTGGGAAGCCCCAACACCTGGCAGGGGTTTTCCCAGGGACCCGTCGGGAGTCTGGGGTGCTGCAGGGCCTGTGTGAGGGCACAAGATCCCAGAGCTGGGCAGAGACTCCCTAGAAACATCAACGGTAGGCACCCTGGCCTCAGAGAGGTGGTCTCCCCAAACCACAGCCCCAGGAAGTGACGGCACCAGAACCCAGCGGCCAGTCCCCTGTCCCTTGTACTAGTTGGGATTTTGAGGACAGTAATCCAGGGACTTGGAAATGCAGGTAATGAGAGAGCTGGGAAGTGAAATAGGAGCCAGCGAGGGACAAAGCATGGGGGAGGCCAAGGAGCCAGGCCAGGTCCCCAAGAAAGAGAACCATGCGGTTGTGTGGGGCCCTCACCACAGAGACAATTACCCCACCAACAGAGGCCTCTAGCCTCCCGAGGAGGGGAAACACCACTTCCCCTCCAGCCTCCCACTTGGGCCTCCTGTTGGCTGAACAGTGGGAAGGGGCTGATGTAGGGGGAAGGGACCAATGTGGGGAGTAGGGACCCCTCTGCCAGGCTGCTTCCTCCCACAAAGCCCCAGGTGACCGAGTCCCTGCCCCGGGCCAGGCCTCTGCTGGGAGACCCCTGTCCCCATGGTCCATGCTGCTCTGGAGGAGGGTGTGATCGGTGTAGTGCATTGTGGGAGCAGGAGGCCAGGTGGGTGCTTTTTGGAGGAGTCTGGCTCCAGCTGAATTTCAGAGGACAGAAGCCATTAGAGAAGTGAGGTCCAGTAGGTACTCTGCAGCCACACAGGCCGGGTGCCCTTCCAAAAGCACTGGACTACATTCCCCAGCACCCTTTGCAGTTGGTGCAGTCATGTGACTGGTTTCTAGCAGGAGGGGATGGGGCAGTTCCAGGGCTGGTCCTTAACACCTCCACAGGCAACCCCCTGCAGGCCCTTCCCCCTGCTCCCGATGTTGCTCAGGTGACTGGAAGCCATGCCAACCTAGGTCCCTAGCATGTGGAAGGATCTCCCCATCCCCACCTGTTCACCCATCCAGTACTGCTTTGGGAACAAAAAATAAACTTCCCTTGTGAGTAAGCCATAGTACATTTTGGGGTCTATGTGTTGCAGCAATTGGTCCCCTGAACTATACACAACAGGCAGAGATGTGAAAAGATGGCCTTATGTTTTTCATCAGTGTTGAAGATAAATACTATGTGCAAAAGGTTTTAAAAAATTCAGTGGATCTTCCAATGTTCATAGCAGCGTTATTCACGATAGCCAAAAGGTGGAGGCAACTTAAGTGTCCATCAACAGGTGAATGGATAATCAGATGTGGTCTATCTGTACAATGGAATATTATCGGGTCATAAAAAGGAAGGATATTCTGACCACTGCTACAACATGGATGAACCTTGAGGACATTATGCTAAGTGAAATAAGCCAGACACAAAAGGACAAATACAGCATGATTCCATTTACATGAGGTCCCTAGAGCAAATTCATAGAGACAGAGGGTAGAATAGAGGTTGCCAGGGGCTGTGGAGGGGAAATGGGGAGCTGTTGTTTTTGGCAAGTTCCCTGACCAGGGATTGAACCCGGGCCATGGCAGTGAAAGCACCAAATTCTAACTACCAGACCACCAGGGAACTCCTGGGAGCTGTCAATTAATGGGGACAGTTTCAGTTTGGGAACACGAAAAGGTCGAGATGGGTGGTGGTGATGGTTGTGCAACCATGTGAATGTACTTAATGCCACTGTGCTGGACCCTTAGAAATGGTTAAGACGGTAAAGTTTTTGTTATTTGTTTTATTTTTTTAATTTATTTATATGTTTTTGCCTGCATTGGGTCTTCATTGCTGCGCACGGGCTTTCTGTAGTTGCGGCGAGCGGGAGCTACTCTTCATTGTGGTGCGCGGGCCTCTCATTGCGGTGGCTTCTCTTGTTATGGAGCACGGGCTCTAGGCACGTGGGCTTCAGTAGTTGTGGCACATGGGCTTAGTAGTTGTGGCACGCAGGCTGTAGAGCACAGGCTCAGTAGTTGTGGTGCATGGGCTTAGTTGCTCCACAGCGTGTGGGATCTTCCCAGACCAGGGCTCGAACCCGTGTCCCCTGCATTGGCAGGCAGATTCTTAACCACTGAGCCACCAGGGAAGTCCTGTGTTATTTGTATTTTACTACAATTAGAAAATTTTAAAACTCAAACAGAGGAATTTACTTAGTCATTCCCCAGGTGGTGGACAGTCTTTTGCTTCTTCAAATGCTGTTGTGCTTGGTAAGTAAGTTCAGGTTCACCTGTAGGGGAAATTCACACAAGATGATGGGCTGGGGTTTTTGTTTTTGTTTTTTTAATTTATTTATATTATTTATTTTTGGCTGTGTTGGGTCTTTGTTGCTGCACCCTGGCTTTCTCTAGTTGTGGCGAGCCGGGGCTTCTCATTGCGGTGGCTTCTCTGGTTGTGGAGCATGGGCTCTAGGCACGCAGGCTCAGCATTTGTGGCTCACGGACTCTAGAGCGCAGGCTCAGTAGTTGTGGCACATGGGCCTAGTTGCTCCGCGGCATGTGGGATCTTCCCAGACCAGGGCTTGAACCCGTGTCCCCTGCATTGGCTGGCGGATTCCTAACCACTGCGCCACCGGGGAAGTCCAATGGGCTGGTTAAACGACACATTTGTTTTCCTCCTAGAGTTGTACCCGCTGACACTCACCACCAACCTACGCGATTGCCAGGCCCCCTACACCCTCATCAGAGTAAGGAGCCTTCAGATTTTTTGCTCTTTGTCAGTTAGTGAAACACACTGTGGGGCCTCCGTCAGGCTGACCGGCATTCCCAGAATTCCCTTCCCAATGTGTTTTGGGTTAGGACCACAAGAGAGATTCCTGTGCAGGATTGGGAGGGCGGAAGGGAATTGGCAACCTCTTTTGTAAGTCACACTCCTTGTGGCGCGCCTGCTGACCCAGCTCATCAAGCACCAGCAGAATCCAGGCAACTACTCCACCTCCTCCCAGTCCACCCTCAGTCCATTCTCCTGGGTCAGGTGTGTGACAAAGCAGTCCAGCTGCTACAAGAAACCTTCGTCGCCCTTGACAACAAGAAGGGATGTGGACTTCAGCCTATCCTCGTGGGCTCCAGTCAGCTCTGGATCCTCCCTCCACTTTCCATGCATCTTTCCTCCTGACTCTGCCTCATGGACCTCAGGCTGCAGCATCCCATGGGAGACAGTAGCCTTACAGGGACCCCTTGCCCAGTTCCCATGGTGTGGGCCCTGCTTCTTTGATGGAACTCGGCTAAATAAAGTATAAGTTGTAAGCAAGAAAGTGCACTGCTCAGGGTACAGCTTGTGAGCATGCCCAGTGAACCACCACTCTGGTCACCCCTAACATTTTCTCTATCAGACACTGTCCTCTCCCTCCTCCTCAGGTCAACCATCAATTTCTCACCCCATAGGTGAGTTCTGCCTGGTTTGTCCTTCACACAGGTGGAATCCTAGAGTTTTTCTGAGTATTATTTCGGCTAATGAATTTGTTTATCCATTTCCCTGTTGAGGCGCTTTGGGGTGGTTTTCAGTTTGGAGCTATAATGGCTAGTGCTGTAAACATTCTTGTATGTGTCTTTTTTTTTTTTTTTTTTTTTTTTTTTTTTTT